GCCTACAACTACCACGGAGCCACCCACTACAACCCTGCCGGGAGGGCCTACAACTACCACGGAGCCACCCACTACAACCCTGCCGGGAGGGCCTACAACTACAGTGTTTTGTATGCCAATGAAATGACATTGTGATAAAGATAATATGAATAAATGAATGAAGACCTTTAAGTCTGATAGCAAGTGCTTTTTGTTAGATTGCAAGATTGAAATCCGAATCTACTCCCAAATGTCCCTTTCAGCCAGGACGTGCTCATCGAGTGGTTGTTTAATAAGTTTTTTTAGCTATCGCGTTCATATATAAACAACGCCACATAAGATCTCAAGATTTCGTCTAAAATATTGAGATCTTTGGAATATATCTTGAGTTTGTCCATTTTTAACGAAGCGTGAAGACCCCCGCTGGGGGTCATTATGATCCGCTATGGCAGAGAAGTTTTTGACAAAATATTGGATATGTACCTCTAAGCTACAGCCAGAGAGATTAATCCAAAGTGCTCTGCTTAGTCCAATAATAAGAATGCGTTTAACGTTGATAAAAACTGTGTCTATCGAATGTTGTTTTCTGTCACTAGATTGTGATCCACCGCCAATTGTAGACAACACCATCAAAGACTGTGTCGCCCCCTACAAACATGGGGACGAGTGTACCTACACATGCATCGCTGGGTACTGTCCGGATCCAGACGGCGGCACCGGCGACATGGTGACCTGCGAGGATGGAGTTTGGGTTTGGGATAATCCTCCTCCCATAGAATGTAAAAGTACGTATGTAACAGTGCCTACACTGTTTCCTGTTTTTCACGCATCTGTCTATCCATGCCATGTGTGTGTGGAGTCTTCCCAACCCTAGGAAGAGGCATCCTATTTTGCAACCATCAAAAATTCTCAAATTGCCAGGTTGAATTTCCCAAACTGTTCCAAATTTTCCCTTAGCTACGACTTCTTCACACAGTGTAAAAGATGTTTGGCTAAGAATTGTTTATTACTTATGGGATTAGGCACATGTAGAAAATTAAAATATTGGGTCAATATTGCCTGTTGGCTGTAACGTTATTCATTGTTCAATGCCTGGTTCACAAAGTTCTAAATCTGAAACTTTGTCAGATATGACTCGTCGGTTGATAGTGTAAGCTAAGACCGAATCCCTGTTTTCCATTGAGAATGCGTTTAACGTTGATGAAAATTGTGTCTATCGAGTGTTGTTTTCTGTCACTACCAGTGGATTGTGGCCCACCACCAGTGCTAGACTACGCCGACCTAGACGGCTGTGTCGCCCCCTTCAAACATGGGGACGAGTGTAACTACCATTGCTTCGCTGGGTTCTGTCCGGATCCAGACGGCGGCACCGGCGACATGGTGACCTGCGAGGATGGAATTTGGGTTTGGAATAATCCTCCTCCCATTGAATGTAAAAGTAAGTATGTCACAGTGCCTATGATTTCCTATTTTTCACGCATCTGTCTATCCATGCCATGTGTGTGAAGTCCTCCCGGCCCCAGAAAGATGCTTCCTATTTTGCAACCGTCACTACCATCAAATTGCCAGGTTGAATTTCCCAAACTGTTCCAAATTTTCTCTTACCTACGACTTCTTCAGACAGTGTAAAGATGTTTGGCTAAGAATTGTTTGTTACTTATGGGGTTAGGCAGCATGAAGAAAATTAAAACATTGAGTTAAATATTGCCTGTTGGCTGTAACTTTATCAATGCCTGGTTCACAAAGTTCTAAATCTGAAACTTTGTTATATGTGACTCGTCGGTTGATAGTGTAAGCTGAGGCCAAATTCTTCTGTTTTCCATCTAGAATGTGTTTCGCGTTGAAAATCGTATCTATATCGAATGTTGTTTTCTGTCACTACCAGTGGATTGTGGCCCACCACCAATGCTAGACTACGCCGACCTAGACGGTTGTGTCGCCCCCTACAAACATGGGGACGAGTGTACCTACCATTGCTTCGACGGGTTCTGTCCGGATCCAGACGGCGGCACCGGCGACATGGCGACCTGCGATGATGGAGTTTGGGTTTGGAATAATCCTCCTCCCATTGAATGTAAAAGTAAGTATGTAACAGTGCCTATATGTTTTTCACGCATCTGTCTATCCATGCCATGTGTGTGAAGTCCTCCCGGCCCCAGAAAGATGCTTCCTATTTTGCAACCATCAAAAATCCTCAAATTGCTAGATTGAATTTCCCAATTTTCCTTACCTACGTCTTCTTCAGACAGTGTAAAAGTTTGGCTAAGAACTATTTATTACTTATGGGGTTGGGCAGCATGATGACATACTGGGTTCAATATTGCCTGTTCGCTGTAATGCAATTCCTTGTTCAATGCCTGGTTCACAAAGTTCTAAATGTGAAACCTTGTTATATATGACTCGTCGGTTGATAGTGTAAGCTAAGACCGAATCCCTGTTTTCCATTGAGAATGCGTTTAGCGTCGATGTAAATTGTATCTATCGAGTGTTGTTTTCTGTCACTACCAGTGGATTGTGGCCCACCACCAATGCTAGACTACGCCGACCTAGACGGCTGTGTCGCCCCCTTCAAACATGGGGACGAGTGTACCTACCATTGCTTCGACGGGTTCTGTCCGGATCCAGACGGCGGCACCGGCGACATGGTGACCTGCGATGATGGAATTTGGGTTTGGAATAATCCTCCTCCCATTGAATGTAAAAGTACGTAAATGCTATGTAACATTGCCTATCGTTTCCTGTTTTCCGCGCATCTGTCTATCCATGCCATGTGTGTGAAGTCCTCCCGGCCCCAGAAAGATGCTTCCTATTTTGCAACCGTCACTACCATCAAATTGCCAGGTTGAATTTCCCAAACTGTTGCAAATTTTCTCTTACCTACGACTTCTTCAGACAGTGTAAAGATGTTTGGCTAAGAATTGTTTGTTACTTATGGAATTAGGCAGCATGAAGAAAATTAAAACATTGAGTGAAATATTGCCGGTTGGCTGTAACTTTATCAATGCCTGGTTCACCAAGTTCTAAATCTGAAACTTTGTTATATGTGACTCGTCGGTTGATAGTGTAAGCTGAGGCCAAATTCTTCTGTTTTCCATCTAGAATGTGTTTCGCGTTGAAAATTGTATCTATCGAGTGTTGTTTTCTGTCACTACCAGTGGATTGTGGTCCACCACCAATGCTAGACTACGCCGACCTAGACGGCTGTGTCGCCCCCTTCAAACATGGGGACGAGTGTACCTACCATTGCTTCGCTGGGTTCTGTCCGGATCCAGACGGCGGCACTGGCGACATGGTGACCTGCGATGATGGAGTTTGGGTTTGGAATAATCCTCCTCCCATTGAATGTAAAAGTAAGTACATGTATGTAACAGTGCCTATAATTTCCAATTTTTCACGCATCTGTCTATCCATGCCATGTGTGTGTGAAGTCTTCCCAACCCCAGGAAGAGGCATCCTATTTTGCAACCATCAAAAATCCTCAAATTGCTAGATTGAATTTCCCAATTTTCCCTTACCTATGACTTCTTCAGACAGTGTAAAAGATGTTTGACTAAGAATTGTTTATTACTTATGGGGTTAGGCAGCATGAACACATTAAATATTGGGGTCAATATTGCCTGTTGGCTGTAACGTTATTCATTGCTCAATGCCTGGTTCACAAAGTTCTAAGTCTAAAACTTTGTTAGATATGACTCGTTGGTTTATAGTGTAAGCTGAGGTCAAATTCTTCTGTTTTCCATCTAGAATGCGTTTAACGTTGATGAAAATTGTGTCTATCGAATGTTGTTTTCTGTCACTACCAGTGGATTGTGGCCCACCACCAATGCTAGCCAACACCAATCGAGGCGGCTGTGTCGGCCCCTTCAAACATGGGGACAAGTGTACCTACACATGCATCGCTGGGTTCTGTCCGGATCCAGACGGCGGCACCGGCGACATGGTGACCTGCGATGATGGAAATTGGGTTTGGAATAACTTTCCCATGGTCTGTAAACGTAAGTATGTAACAGTGTCTATAATTTCCTATTTTTCACGCATCTGTTTATCTATATCATGTGTGTGTCGAAGTCTTCCCGGCCTTCCTATTTCGCAACCGTCAAATTACTTGATTGAATTTCCCAAACTGTTCCAAATTTTCCCTTAGCCATGACTTCTTCAGACAGTGTAAAAGATGTTTGGCTAAGAATTGTTTATTACTTATTGGACTTGGCAGCATGAAGAAAATTAAAACATTGGGTTCATATTGCCTGTTGGCTGTTACATTATTCATTGCTCAATGCCTGGTTCACCAAGTTCTAAATCTTGAACTTTGTTATATATGACTGGTCGGTTGATAGTGTAAGTTGAGGTCGAATTCTTCTCTTTTCCATCTAGAATGCGTTTAGCGTTGAAAATTGTGTCTATCGAAAGTTGTTTTCTGTCACCACCAGAGGAATGTGGCGCACCACCAGTGCTAGCCAACACCATCCGAGGCGGCTGTCTCGCCCCCTTCAAACATGGGGAGGTGTGTACCTACACATGCATCGCCGGGTTTTGTCCGGATCCAGACGGAGGCGCCGGCGACATGGTGATCTGCAATAATGGAATTTGGTTTTGGAATAATCCTCCCCCCATGGAATGTAAAAGTACGTTTGTAACAGTGCCTACCCATGCCCGTAGCCAGGATTTTGAATGGGGGGGGTTCTTCCCACTGCTGGAGGGGACCTCGAGCGCCGTAGGCGCGAGGTTCCTAGGGGGGTCCGGGGTCATGCTCCCCCGGAAAATTTTGAAAAATGAACGTTCTAAAATGGCATTTCGTGCATTTTTGAGAGGATTTCCAAGAAAAAATCAGAGATGAATTTTTATTCAATGACAAAGGGAGCAGTTTTTCTACGATTCCAGTCCATCTTTTCAAGAAAAATCTTGGACCTTTACATAAAAAGTGGACCAAAAAGTGGACCTTTACATAAAAAGTGGACCAAAAAGTGGACCTTTACATAAAAAGTGGACCAAAAAGTGGACCTTTGAGCCTTGTGGGGGGGTTCTTCCGAACCCCCCGAACCCCCCTCGGCTACGGGCATGAGTATTATAAAGTGCCATTGCACTTAACAGTGACTGGACCATCGTTTGTCCCTTTTCTTTTACATTTTCAACTGAGCAAAACAAAGTCGTTCTGTTTTTCTACGATTTGCTCCTGCGATCGCGATTAAAGCAGATGTAGGGTCCCACACGTAATTATATATTGCGGCATTTTCGTTGTTTTTTTTGTTTTTTTTGTGGCCCGTGTTTCTCTTTCCCCGTGATTGCCAGTACGGTAGAAAGGGAGACTGACTAGAAGCAAATCACAGGGTTGATTCGGATTACTACATAATAAAAAGATGAATTTAAAAACACAGAAATTAAGAAATTACAATGGATTCAAGTTTCTACCAGCTAGAAACTACAAGTGCCCCTGATGGACGCCACGAGAATGAGCCCTCCACACATCTGCTTGATAGTTAAATCACGATGGCCATATTTTCGACCACAGCGGGAAGG